TGTACCAGATTGTCTGAATAAACAAATTGTAAATCAAATGAGAAGACCTGTTAAATATTTAACGAGGAAATTACGCTCCAGGTATATGATGATGTCGCATACACAAATTCTTAGCAATCTAACCAAATATTTACGATTTTATATTATTATTTATACCTAACATAAAACCACAATTACACCATTATAAACAATTTTACACCACAGTCCTTATATTGTCCGTCCGCACAAGAAATTATATTGTCCGTCCGCACTAGAAAATTATTTGTCCGTCCGCACCAAAGAAAATATACAACGATCAACTTACCTGAATAGGAGTTGCACTCCAAACGAACATTTCATCCATAGGCAAATTATGTTTTTTGTCATAAATAATTCAGCATGCAAATGTTGGTGGTGTATTTTGTAAAATGTCCATCGTTGTCGCGGGTATAGATTGCCTGCTTTCCTGGGATCTATTGTCCGGATTTATTAAAAAAAAATTGAGTACCTAAAGGAAAAGAAAACAATAAAATTAGTAAATAATAACAACATCAATGCAATATGAACCTGAAACTATTATAAAATAGAAGAAAAGTTTAGATTAGCAGTCTATTGAGTAATAATAAAATATGTAGTTAAATAAAATGCTCTCTAAATATAAAATCAATGCAGTCAATTTTGAACAGGTCACACATACTCCCCAACAAACATTTCCATTTACCAAAGCAATCATTCTCAAATATAAAATCATCCACCACTCATATACAGAGATTTGCAATAAATATGCATTAGGTTTGGGTATAGTTATTTTTCCTTTCAAAAACATTCATAAAAAGGAAAAATCTAATAAACAACTCTCGTGTATGTACACATATCCAATTATTTTCCATTTTAAACAATATTTATGTCTACTGCATTTATCAGTAAAATTATGCTGCGAGTCAGCCACATAATCACAAAGAATTAAAAACACTTCTTCCATATTAAAATTCACATATTCATTGGTTAACCCACAAAAAAACACCATCTTCCACAGCCGAAAACAATCAGCAATGAGAAACCACTCACCTAATACTCTTAATTTCAAAAGTGCCAGGAATATTTATAATCGCTTGGGCAACATAAAAGGGTATTTTCCAACACCCATCCTCAATAAATAACCTTGTTATTATATGGCTGTAGCAATTACACACATGTATACACCAATCAACACCAAATTCACCAGCCACAATTTCTGTAAAAAGAAAACAAAAATGTTAATAATCAGGTATCCAATAAGAAAAAATTAAATCTGTTACCTCTTTTTTCTGTTATTTATGTGGGCATCATCTACGCACAAGCCTATGGATTGTCCCAATTTTTCTTATTGGAATATGACAACGTGCAATAATGCTGACTGCAAGAATGAATACACAGCATATGCATCTCAATGAAATATGAAGGGTGTGAATGGCAGGTATGTGTGTGTTAGCACACACAAATTCATACGTATGTATGCGACCGACGCTAAAATTTTGGCGTGCAAATACACACACACGTACATATATACATGGTCACCGCTAGTTTTTGCGTACCCGCAAACACACATACCCCATAATGAAAATATTCCATTCACTTATTTTGCGTTTTACCTGAAACAAAAAAATGAAAATTTAATGTTCATTGTTTTTTGGTTAATTATGATGTGTATGCTTACCTGTATTGCCCTGCAATGCCTCCACTTAACACTCCCATTGAACCTCGTGGCCACCAGGAACTTGAGGGCTGGTCGGTCAGCCATCCATTTTCATGACCATCCTCCAGGTAGTTTTTTTTATTACCAAAGTCATGCACATCACCATATCCATTGAAATCAATGGATATGGCGAAGTTTTGTTGCATGTGACTCTGTTTAATTTTTTTATTTTATAAAACAAAAAAAAAACCGGCAGCAAATTTTCTCGATGTGTTTCGTGGCTGCCGGTCTAGAAGAAATAAGCCGGATGCGGTAGGCTATGAAGTTGGCTGCATATAAACAGTGTTGCTAAGATGGAATAATGAAGTGAATTATGAATTGTAGTTAGTGGATGCGGTCACGTAACGTGCATGAAATGCAACACTGCGTGAGCGTAATAGGTTTGGATGTAGCATAAAACAGACATAAATAAATGTCGGGAAATTGTGCGAAAATGAAAAGGAGGGAAAATCCTGCTTGGGTTTCGGGCGTATAAAAGGAGCGAATGAGAGAAAAATCGCCATAGTTTTTTTTTGTGTCCACTTAAAATCCAATTGGACTTTGTCCCAACATAAAATAATTAAAATCAACAAAAAAATCTTATTGGAAATAAAAAAAAAATTATATATTTTTTTGCTTCAACGTTTATTGTGGTGTTGTGTGACAAACATATGTTGTGCGTATTCACAAATGTAAGAATGTTGCTCAATGTGTTTGTTTTTTTTGTCGCTACAATGTCCTGTTTTTATTTGTCTTATTAAAGTTGAACGCCATCAAGAAAACTCCAAACCACGAAGAAACTGACCCCTCCCAAATATCTGCGAGGAGGAGGTCAGATAAAATTTTTGAAGAACATTTTGAAGAATATTTTGAAGATAATTTGGAAACAGCCATAAAACAGCCTTGAAAAGTTGCCAAAATCCTGCCAATAATCCCCTTTAAATCCGTATGGAGAGGGAACAAAAAATCCTGGTAATCCGTGATGATTTGCTCTGTCGCTGGTAATGAACCCCTACAATAAAGAAACCAGAAAATATATATATTAAATCGTTGGAAACCAGGTAAAAGAATATTAATATAATACTTACCAATTCGAGCCAATGCTGGAATAATGGAATTGTCAGTTTCCCTATGCAAATCAGAAAAACCTGAAATGATATAAGAGAAAGATAACGTTAAATTCAATTTTTACAAAAAATAAGACACAAAAAACTATAAAAAAGACAAAAAAATACAATTAAAACAAAAATATATGTTAGTAATAAGTTGTGAATGTTTGTAGTTAGTTTAGTATTAAGAATTTAAATGATTTATATTTTGTGAGGATTTTTAACCCCTTTTAATTACTGGTGAGCTAGATTACCACATTTCTACGTGGAGCAAGAACTCAATAATTTTGCGGACGCAATTTAACCGCATACGTCACCACTAATAGAGCTCTCTTAGGTAGGTGTAGTTGCCTAAAGTGGCCTAAATTGGCAGTGTAAAATGCCCTAGTCAAAGTGTTGGTAATCGAAGTAATTGATTCACACTGAGAGAAAGGAGTTAGGAGTTCGTAAATTGACATGTTTTTCAACCTTTATGTTTTAGATTAAGTTCAAAATGTCAATAAATGATTTTTATGTTTGATTTTATGTTATTAGAAATTATGTTGTGTTAAGTTTTCTTTGTGAGAGAGGGAATTAGGTGTAAGTTTTCGTGATGTAAGTGTGTGTGGAATTTGGGGCCCTTTTAAATATAAAATTTCGTTAATTGGACTAAAGGGTCAAGGATGGGCGGGCATAGTGGAGGAGCACTAAACCAAGCTCCTTCGTCATAGGTGTATGTTGTGTTTGTTTATGTTTTTTGTGTTTTGTATGATCCAAAAATTTCTAGTTGTTCGTTCCCTAGGGTTGATGGTGGCAAGGGTTGAGAACTCCCCTGAACGAAAAGTGTTCCTAACTGAGCTAGTGCGAACCCCACCATAACGCCGCATTAGGTCTAGAACGTAACAATACTTCCAAAAACTATACATTTTTTTCGCAGTATCTCTATACAACCATTCCCTTTGAAAAAAGCGTCACAAATGAAAATATGCATGATGGCTCCACCACACACACTTCAAAATCGATCGTCATGTATGCGAAAAATCAATTTTTTTTGTTTCACCACAAAATGCATGCATGACCGTTTGCGGGCCACTTTAGGAGTAAAGGGGGAAACACATTCGAGGATTCAGGCCTGGCATGTTAAGTTGGGTTTGTATAAAATATCAATTTATAAAGGAATATCAGAATCAAACTTGATTTTTTTCTTTTACAATAAAAAAAAGCCAACTTAACATGCAAGTCCTGAAGTTCTCTGATATGTTTCTCCCTGTATTTCTACAAAAATCTGATCTAAACAAATAATGAAGTGGATATCACGGCCAACATAACTTGACCAGTACTGATGAAAACCAGTTTACGGCAGACAGGATTAAAGTTATGGGCGCGGAAAATTTGCATGGAATATTTGGTAGAGAACTCCTCGACCAGATGGACTGACTTGCATCGGAAGGGAAAATGGGGTCATACTATCGGAGGAATTGCTACACAATCTAACTGATGATATGCTGGACAAAACGTTAATTCCGGTCAAGTCTACTTAGGAAGATTGATGTGGCTCTAACGAAGAAAGTACGGACCTTGATGCCAACCGAGGGCAGGTCTGATTCCGACATACCGACAATAAGAGGCTAAAATTACTAACTCATTTATATTTATAAATATTTTGAAGTTTTTAAATGATTTATCAATTTTTGCCACTGAACACATGACATGCGTAAATTTTGAAAGTTGAATGCCGTCAAAGGCAAATTTATGAGAAAAAAATTGGAAACATATGACTGCATGAGACTATCTTGTATAAGACCTGATATACATTAGAACTTTTTTACCGGGTTAACCTACTTTATGAGGATTTATTTGACACATATGCAAAGGAATTGACAATTGAAACCCACTGGGTTAACGAAATCCGGTTAAATGTAAACGTACTATAAGTATGCCATGCAGAACTTCCAGAAACAACTAATTTTTCCCTACCGGTTCCAGTCGTTCATTTTTCAGAACCCATCCGCTGATTTTCATTTCTTCCATTTCAAGTTCTAAACAAACCATTTTGTTTCGTGGTGGTTTTTATCTTTCATTCCCAGCTGTTGCCACCAATTCGTAGCATGTGGAACGTTTTTTTAATTAGTTCGGCTATCTTTATATATAAACAAAACAAAAATCAGTAAACTGTTAAAATTCCTTAATTATCTTTAAAAAATATAAACCAAAACCACAATGATCGGTCCCGCAACTACTAAGGATAAGTTATTAAAACTTATGACCGAAAAAGAGAACTTGGAAACTCAAATCAATGCCTATGGCAGTGTTTTGGCAGAGGTATTCAAATGCTACATCATGATTGTGCACATTTTTTAAATCTGCTTTCAATATTATATTTTAACTCGTTTTGTTTTCGTAGAATGATAACGTTGGCATGCACGGCTCATTAGTCGATTCCGAGGGATTTCCACGCAATGACATTGACATCTATAAAGTTCGTCAGGCCAGACAACAAATTATTTGTTTACAAAATAATCACAAGACCCTAATGAAATCTATCGAGGAACTTATGCATCAGTTACATGCCGAGACAAGACAACAAAATTTGACACAACAAACATCGGAGCTAAATTTAAATGGTAGCTCCAGTGAGCATTCGGAAGAAATGGATGCAAGTGTAAATGGTTTGACACCCTTGGTACCAATTGTGAAAATAACCCATGTTGATGCAGGATCACCAGCAGAACGAGCAGTAAGCTATTCCAAAATGTTTTTTTTTATTTATATAATTAATAATAAATATTTATTTGTTACTTTAGGGTCTTCGTAGCCAGGATAGAATTGCCGAATTCGGTTCGGTGAATGCAGATAACTTCAATAAACAACTATCCACCATCGCTAGCATTGTCAGTCATAAACGTGATCAAAGAATTCCATTGAAAGTTTTACGAAATAATGAAATATTGGATATTATATTAATTCCGCAGCGATGGTCGGGTAATGGTTTGTTGGGTTGCAATATTGTTCTGATTGATTAATTGGAAATTGTTTGCTAAAATTTAGGGGAGAAACAAATTAAAATATGCGTATTGAAGATTGTTTTTTTTTTACTTTTTTTGATAAATTATAATAAAATAAACGATTTTATGAAAATAAATATTTAGTCGACACTCGAAATTTAAACTCTTTCCCAGTCTCATGATACAGCTCTTATTATTTTGAAACACTCGGTATTTTATTTCATTTACACTTTGCAAACCGTATTTGAGGGTGGAAAATGTCTTATGGGTTTTAAAGCCCTTGGCTAGTATATAAACACGAAATATTCACCGGTGGGTCCATAAATTCTGTGTCGATTTAGCCATGTCCGCCCCTCTGTCGAATCACGACAGAGCTCGTGATATTTAAGGTACATACATTACTTCTACTCCTAGGATGGTTGGTATTGGAAATGGTATATGTCGGCATACTTTTCCATATAGCCCCCATATTTTTTGGGATATTGGATACTTTTTTCAAACGATATAAGTGTAATTTGTAATTGTAAGATTTACTGCGCAATTGGCAATAAATCTTTCTATCAAATATTAACAATACTGGTCCACATTTAAAATTTGGTGATTTTATATTTTGAATAAAAAATAGGTAGAAAACCTCTCTTATATAAATAATCAGTATTGGTTAAAAGTTTTGGGTTGACTGAATATAACTTTTCACCTATTTTTCGATATCAGCAAAGAAATGTCTCTAATTTGGCATTTTGGGTTCTCATTGTTTTCAATAATGGTAATTTTTATGGTAGTCATTATATAACGGTAACTTCCAAATGTTCGAGTGTCTGGCGATGTTTTTCAGCATCGGTCCACCTTTTGGTTTAGCCCCAAATAATTTTGTTGTTGGAAGAATTTCGAATGTATATTTCTTTTTCTCTTGGTAGCATGTAGATTCTGTGCCATTAAGATTAGCATAGCTTTCCTTATATGTCGATCGATTTTAAGCATTTTTGAGGTTCGTCTCATGGTGAAAGAACAAAACGACGTTTTTACCTCTTAAAGAGAATAGGGTATACTCTTAAAGAGTGCATATTTTAAATTTTTTATCAAGGACCAAGGCGTGGATTTTTTAAAGAAAAATTAAGAATTAGCAACGCGTGGATTTAAAAAAAAATATTTCTTTAAAAATTAGCGAGTCTTGGATTTTTAAAAAATATGTTTTTTTTAGGAATCGCCAAGGCTAAGATTTTCTAAAGAAAATTATGTCTTTGTGCATATGTTTATAACAGACAAAACAAGATAGACCCGTGGTTCCTTTTGAGAATATGCATAGAATCACTTTCTGACTCGATTTATGCATGTGCGTCCGTCTGTGTCTGTATATCCATGTTAAATTGTAAACAAAGTACAGTACGCATTTATGATCCGAATTGGATGAAATTTGGCATTGGTCACTTATTTGGCCCAAGGACGAACCCTATTGAAATTGGAAAAAATCGGTTCAGATTTAAATATTTTTTTTTGTACGATTTAAGGTAAGTGGCGCACAGAAGTCTTTATATATTATTCGATTTGCACGAAATTTGGCACAGCGTACTGAATTAGGTCTAGAATGATGTGTGTTAAGTTTCCTGAAAATCGGTTCAGATTTAGATATAGCTCCTATATATAGTTTCGTCCGATTTAATGTAAATGGTGTACCAAAGTCCCTATATATCTTTTGATTTGCACGAAATTTGGTATAACGTAATGAATTAGGTCTGGAATGATGTGTGTTAAGTTTCCTGAAAATCGGTTTAGATTTAGATAAAGCTCCCATATATATTTTCGTCCGATATAATGTAAATGGTGCACCAATGCCCCTACATATTGTTACGAATATAACTTTAGATTTAAGTTAATTTAGATGAATTCCGTTAATTTAAGAATTTGAATTGTAACGTAAATTTCTACTACGCAGTTTATTCCAATAACTTCACAACAACAACTACTGTATAGATTTTTCTACATCCTTTCATTTCCTCTTTCATTTTCTATTTTGTTATTGACGTAAAATTCTTTTTAAACGTCATCATTGATGATCGCTTAATTCCTCTTTCTTTGTTACTCCCTCGCCTGTATATGTGTTGTTGTTATTGTTCACTCAATGTAAGTTTGTATGCGTTTGTTGCATTGGTAGATTGTTCGAAATCTAGGTGTTACCAGATCGTCTAGAAACTTCTGTAGCGACAAGCAGGGCTCATATAAATAGGGAAATGGAAAGGCTGTTAGTCAGTTCTGAATCAGATCGCGAATTGAAACCGTCAAGTAACGTAAAGCTGTAAAGTAACGTGCAAAGTAAAGTTGTGTCAATAAAATCATTGTAATATTCGTAATCAGAAAGAACCCGCGTTTTATTTGGTACGAACTGTATTGGGAAATAAAACAACGTCCACACGGGATTAAGTAAAATCCAAGAACGTAACAATTGGTGTCGGAAGTGAGATTACGATAATACTACGATGAAGTTTAAGGATCTACGAGTGGAAGACTTGAAGAAGGAGCTACAAAAACGTCTGTTGAATGAGTTCGAGCGCCGTGGTATGAACATCGATACATATGAGTTTGACAGTAAGGATGAAGTGGATTTGTCGGAAATGGGCGAATCCAACGGTGGGGAAGTCTCTTCAGTAGCTGCCAGGGGTGACGATTTAAGAGAAATGCTGGCTAAAATGTTGGAGGAAAATTACAGAAGGTGCGAGGAAAATTCGAGAAGAATGATGGAGAAACTCGAGAACATTACAGAAGTTATTGGAAGGAGAGTGGAAACCGTGGAGGTCCAAATTAAAGAGTTGGATAAGAAAGTGCAGTCGGTTGACGAGAAGATTCTGTCTGTGGATGAGAAATTTCTGGTCCACGACCACAGGGTTACGAATCTGGAGAAGAAAATGTCGGAACTGGAAATTAAGGGTGGTCCGGTGCGAGTTCCTGATAACACACTAAAAATCAAACCTCCTGTATTCGACGGCTCTACGTCATTCAATGTTTTCAAGTTACAGTTCGAGACAGTGGCTTCTAGAAATTCGTGGAACGACAGCGACAAAGCGGTTGCACTACTTCTGGCATTGAAGGGCAGTGCTGCTGATGTTATACAGAGTATTCCTGTCGCTTCTAGAAGCAACTATGAAGATGTTATTGCTGCACTGGAACGTAAGTACGGTGGCGAACATAAACAAAACATCTACGTTATGGAACTAAGGGGAAGAGTACAGAAGGCAAACGAGACGTTACAAGACTTTGCAGCGGAGGTGGAACGTTTGGTGCTAATGACGTATCCAGGAGAGAATCACCCATTGCTGGACCGTATGAAAATCGAAACCTTTGTGAATGGCATACGTGACCCAGAGATTAAATGTGCAACATATGCGTCACCAAAAGCGTAATTTGCCGAAACCGTGTCGTTTGCCCTTGCCCAAGAGACGGCAAGAATAATTGTTAAGCCCCATACCCACAAGATTCGTCAACTGGAGACCGAATGTTGCTGTTACATACTAAATAGTACAACCAAGGACAAAGCGAGAAACGTCAATAACGAAAAACAGCTGTTTCCTTGATTAGAAAGCTCTCTTCTCTTTTTGTATCCTCTAATGTAAGACGTGCTTAAATTTCTAGTATAAGAAACCGAAATAAATTATTGAATTAAAATATACTATGAATAATAATATATAAAATTGGCGACGAGGAACAAATGGAACCAGGTGCTGAAGGAAATAATCCAGAAGTAAAGACGATGGCTTCGAGATATGGGGATTTGTGCCAGTTCAACGTAAATACCGGCAAATGGCAGATTTATGAAGAACAGATGCAGTTCTTTTTTACGGCGAACGGGTTGACAGAGTCGAAAACAAAGAAAGCCATATTTTTATCTTCCTGCGGCACAGAGACGTATACATTGTTGAAATCCATTGCAACACCAGATGACATAACCAAAGATGACTTTCCGTATGATAAAGCCATCGATTTGCTACGGGAACATTTTTGCCCCCAACCAAATGAAATAATTCAACGTTTTCAATTTTATCGTAGGGACCAGAAAGAAGGAGAGTCCATACCGGAATATTTAGCAGCGCTACGTAAGTTGTCCCAGTTTTGTGGATTTTCTAACCTCGAGACGATGCTTCGGGATAGATTAGTATGTGGAATGCGGGATGAAAGCCTGCAGAAACGGTTGTTGGCGAACGACAAACTAACGTTACGGATAGCCCAGGAAGAGGCTATAGCGTGTGAAGAAGCCCAGAAAAATATTGCAGCGTTGAAAACTGCTTCCGTACATCAAGAAATACACAAAGTTGTGGGGAACAAGCAGAGAAATGTCAAATACCACACTCAAAAGAAATGCTTCAGATGTCACGGTAACCATGCGCCAGATACTTGTCGGTTCAGGGATGTTGAATGTAATTTTTGTAAAAGGCAAGGTCATATTGAAAAAGCGTGTATTACAAAATCAAAGTCAAAAGGTCAGTATCAGCGAAGACCAACGAGAAATTCCAGAGTTAACCAGGTTAACTAATGTCAACAGGATTGAAACACATCTTCCACTGGAAGTACATCAATACAGTGAAGTATTTGACGAACACTTAGGCGACTACAAGGGTGAACCAGTGAGGCTAACAGTAGAAACGGAAGGTAAACCAAAATTCCATAGATATCGGCAAGTTCCTTTTGCTCTGAAGCCGAAAGTTGAAGCGGCACTTAAGACGATGGAGAAAGATGGCGTGTTGCGGCCGGTGAAATTTAGTGAGTGGGGAACACCAGTGGTACCCGTGATAAAACCTGACGGTAGTGTACGTATTTGCGGTGACTACAAGTGCACTGTAAACCAAGTTTTATGCAAGGAGACTTACCCGCTGCCAACGAACACAGAAGTGTTTGCAACATTAGCAAATTGTAAGTGGTTTACGCGTTTAGACCTCGATCGTGCATACACTCAAGTGAAAGTGGATGACGAGTCAGCCAGAATACTCACACTGAACACACATAGAGGATTGTTCGAAGTAACACGACTGCCTTTCGGCATTTCTACGGCTCCCAGCATATTCCAGCGAATTATGGAAGGCATATTGAGTGGTGTGAAAGGGGTGGTAATTTATCTCGATGATATTTTAATAGGTGGAACATCTAATCCAGAAATGTGGCAACGCACACAAGAAACTTTGCAACGAATTAAAGAAGCAGGACTAAAATTAAAAAAATCAAAGTGTATTTTTGCAGCAACAGAATTGACATTTTTGGGGTTTGCCATAAACCAGCATGGCGTACAACCCACAGACGAGAAAATCAAGGCGATTTCACATGCTCCAGAACCATCGAATAAGCAACAACTCCAGGCCTTTCTAGGGTTAATCACATTCTACGACAGATTTTTTCCAAATAAAGCCGACGTATTGGAACCACTTTATAGGTTGCTAAAAAAGGACGCACCATTCAAGTGGACAAAAGAACAAAAAACCAGCTTTAATAGAGCGAAGCAGATGCTACAGTCGGATAACTTATTAGTTCACTATTCAGTAGAATTGCCACTAATATTATGTGGAGATGCATCACCATATGGAGTGGGTGCAGTCTTAGCACATATTATGCCAGATGGAAGGGAAGCTCCGATAGCATTTGGGTCCAGAACATTGCAGCCAGCAGAACGTAACTACTCGCAATTGGACAAGGAAGCTCTTGCAATAATATTCGGCATAAAAAAGTTCCAACAGTTTTTATGTGGCCGAAGGTTCACTATAATGACTGACCATAAGCCGCTTCTGGGACTATTTAATCCTACGAAGCCCATTCCGCAGCTATCACCACGGATGTTACGATGGTCGTTGATGTTAGGAGCGTACCAGTACGAGATCAAGTACCGCGAAGGTAAAAACCACCAGAATGCTGATGCATTAGGCAGATTACCATTAGAGTTCCAGAGATACCGGAAATCTTGTATTGCAGCGAAGGTGAAGACAAATTCTTGGTAACGGCTAAAGTGATCGCAAAGGCAACAAGAAATGATCCAATATTGTCAAATGTGATGTGGCACATTAAACGGAAAGACGAAAATTTGACTATAGACAACGATGATATTAAACCATATGCTTCCAGAATACACGAGCTATCAGTAAACAGTAATTGCTTACTATGGGGTTCCAGGGTAATTATACCACAGAAATTACGAGCCAGAATGTTGCAGATGCTGCACGACATTCACCAAGGAATGACCGCTATGAAGGCGATTGCACGCAGCTACTTTTGGTGGCCAGGATTAGACAAAGAAATTGAACTGAAAGCCAGAATGTGCGAGGAATGTTGTCAACAGAGTAAACATCCACCAGCAGCTGATGCAAAATCGTGGCCATTAACTTTAAAACCATGGTCCCGAATACACATCGACTATGCCGGTCCATTTATTGGCACAAATTTTTTAATCGTAGTCGATTCACACAGCAAGTGGTTAGAGGTTAAGGCAACAGCTGATACCACATCGACAAAAACAATAGAATTATTGAGAGACATATTTGCTTCTCATGGATTACCCGACATAGTAGTGACCGATAATGGACGAAACTTCAAGTCGAGCGAGTTTGAAACTTTCCTCAAGGAAAATGGAATTCGCCATTTTTGCACTGCGCCGTATCATCCATCTTCAAACGGACAGGCGGAGAGATTCGTACAATCCGTAAAATCGCATTTGAAGAAACTGCCTCCAACAAATATAGCAAAAAATTTGGCAAATATACTTCTACGCTTACGTACTACTCCAAACCCAATCTCAAATATATCCCCGGCTGAAATTTTGATGGGTAGGGAAATTAAGACGTTGTTAGATATCATATATCCTGCTACAGAGGAAAATAGGAAGAAAGGTACAGAGGATGAAAGTTCTGGAAAGACCAGACCCGTCAGAAGCTTTGAAATTGGTGACACCGTATGCTACCGGAATTTCGGGAAAGGTGAGAAATGGCTACCGGGTGTTGTTCAGTCAACAGGCGATCGAAATTATGAAATAACAACCGGACATGATTTCCATTCAAGACACATTGACCAGCTGCGTTCCAGGGTACCACTAATACCAACACAGATTCCTGAGGATAATACAGTTTCGATAAATGCAGCGCCAGCTCCACCAGAACATCAAACATCTCCACAAAATTCTAACGAAGAAATTATTCCTAATACGGCAACAGTGGAAGTCAGTCAACCCACATCATTAACGGTAGGAACACCTGGGCGCCCACAACGGCAACGAAGGGCTCCACAAAGATATGGTGACTACTTGATGGGGGAGGAACCTGTTACATACTAAATAGTACAACCAAGGACAAAGCGAGAAACGTCAATAACGAAAAACAGCTGTTTCCTTGATTAGAAAGCTCTCTTCTCTTTTTGTATCCTCTAATGTAGTCCAAATTTCTAATGAAACCGAAATAAATTATTGAATTAAAATATACTATGAATAATAATATATAAAAGTTGCGAACCCAAATCTCTCGTTAACTCGATCAAGGACGCCATGAGGCAGGTAATAGAAGAAACAAAGTTATTAGGGAGCACAATCTCCATAAAGCAGGTCATATTGCGCGCGAATGCAGAACAGAAAAGTCACAACCTAACAACAACTGGGTACATCAATGGTGATAAGCCAGTCCAGCGGGGCATGAACTGCCTCCCATCGACGATGGCCCCACAATCTCCATAGCAATAGTACAACAGAAAAGTCACAACCTAACAACAACTGGGTACATCAATGGTGATAAGCGAGTTCTGACGTTAGATACTGGCGCATCAAAGTCAATCATAAGATCAGATCTGGTAAAGGGAAAAATAACGCAACTTAATGGAGTCAGACTGCGCACAGCAACGGGGGAGCCCGCGGCAGTACACGGCAATATTACCCTGACACTAACTATTGCCAATAAATCGGAGAATTACGAGTTTATAGTTGCCGATATCGTAGACGAAGTGATAATAGGCGCAGATTTTATGATTGCCTTTGGTATCAGTCTGGATATGAAAGAGCGTGTGATGACCTGGTCTAACGTCGAAATTCCGTTAAACGTGGGCTACGATGAAAGTACACCCATTAGACGTCTGACTACGGACCATCCAGAGATAATACCGCCCTGTGCCGAAGCAATAATATGGGTACCAATGAATGTAGATTGTGGAGCCGAGAAGTTGTGGGTGGTGGAACCAGCAGAAAACATAAACAGTAACATCCTAATAGCGAATGCCCTGGTGAAAAGCAACAAGGACGGATTGATTCCTGTTAGAGTTTTGAACCTGTCAAACAAGCAAGAGCAAATTTGCCAATTTTCCGATGTTGGACAATGCACACCAGCTGAAGCTGTAATTAATTTGGAAACTAGCACCGAAAAGCCAGCAGCCATGGAGAAGACGCACCTCGACGGCTACATAAAAGAGTGGACACACCAATTATCACCCTCCGAGAGGAACAAGGCTAAGCAGCTATTATGGAAATATGCGTCTACCTTTGCGTTGACAAAAGAGCACCAAGGAAGAACATCAGTGGTGAAGCATGAAATCCATACAGCAGACGCGAGACCCATTAAACAGCCTCCAAGAAGTGTTCCCCTGGTAAAAAGAGACGAGGTCCAGAAGCTGATAAGTGAAATGGAAAAGAGTGGTGTAATAGAACCATCGTCAAGTCCATGGTGCTCCCCAGTGGTCTTGGTCAAGAAGAAAGACGGAAGCACCTGATTTTGTGTGGACTACCAAAAGTTGAATGATGTCACCAAGAAAGACAGCTATCCGCTCCCAAGAATCGACGACACATTGGACACATTAGCCGGGACGTCATGGTTCTCCACCCTCGACCTGCAGAGTGGGTACTGGCAAGTAGAGATCGCCGAGAAAGATAAGGAGAAAACAGCGTTTGGCGTTAATGGGGGTCTCTGGCAGTTCAATGTCATGCCATTCGGACTCTGCAACGCCCCGGCTACATTTGAAAGGCTGATGGAGCGTGTGTTAAAAGTGCTGCAGTGGAAGTCGTGCCTCATATACTTGAATGACATCATAGTCATGGGACGCAACTTCGACGAACACATCAAGAACTTAAATGATGTTCTACAGCAGCTTTCGTCTTCAGGCCTCAAGTTAAACCCAAAGAAGTGCAGTCTCTTCCAACGAGAGGTTAAATTCCTGGGGCACCACGTGACGCCGGAGGGCATATCGACGGATAAGGAGAAAATTCAAGCCGTCAGAGATTGGCCGCAGCCCCGAAATCTCCATGAGCTGCGAAGCTTTCTGGGTCTCTGCACCTACTACCGTCGATTTGTCCCAAATTTTGCCAACATCGCCGCCTGTCTACACCGCTTGACGCAAAAAGGCCAGAGGTTTCAGTGGGGCAACGACCAAGAGGAGGCATTCAGAAAGCTCAAAGACATTCTATGCAGAGCCCCCATTTTGGCATACCCTATACCTGGCGGCAAGTTTGTTCTGGACACAGACGCAAGTGCGTGCGGCATCGGTGGCGTTCCAGGAAATCGACGGACAGGAAAAAGTCATCGGGTACTACAGCCGGACATTGTCGAAACCTGAGAGGAATTACTGTGTGTCGAGGAGAGAGCTGCTTGCTGTCCTTGAGAGCGTTAAACACTTCCACAAATATCTATATGGCCAGCATTTCCTGCTGAGGACCGACCACGCTGCTCTCCAATGGTTGCTGCAGTTTAAGAATCCGGAAGGTCAACTAGCCCGTTGGATCGAGAGGCTCCAGAGTTATGACTTCTGAATCGAGCACAGAAAAGGCGGAAAACGCGGTAATGCTGATGCCCTGTCTCGTCGGCCATGCAAGGTAGAATGCAGGCATTGCTCAAAGGCTGAGAATAAAGAGAATATCGTTGATGTCCGACTGTTGCAGTTTGAGTCGGGTGAAGATTGGTCGACGGAACAACCAAGAGATCCCATTCTGGGCAAAATAATTTCGGCCATAGAAACGGGCAAGCGACCTAGTCGCAAAGAAATTACCTCCGAAAGCCCTCTTTTAAAATCCTATTGGGCCCAGTGGGACAGTCTACTTATAATAGATGGTTGCTTATATCGCAAATGGGAAAGTGAGGACGGTAAATCTCACCGGAACTTGATCGTCGTCCCAGACTCCAAAATAAGAGATGTCCTGTCGGAGTTTCACGATGGGCCAAGTGGAGGACATCTTGGCATAGCAAAAACCGCTGAAAAGGTAAAGCAGAGATTCTACTGGGTCGGCTGTCAAAAATCCATTGCCGACTGGATCGCCAATTGTGAAAGGTGCATAAGAGCTAAAGGTCCAACACGGAAGAGTCGAGGCTTCATGCAGCAGTATAATTCAGGAGCCCCTTTTGAAAGAATCGCAATGGATGTAGCTGGACCGTTCCCAATAAGCGACTCTGGGAACCGGTATGTCTTAGTGGTCATGGATTACTTCAGCAAATGGTCAGAGGTTTATGCTATCCCAAATCAAGAAGCCAGGACAATTGTGGATGTGTTCAGCAAAAATTGGATTTGTCGCTATGGTGTTCCATCTGAGGTTCATTCCGATCAAGGTAGGAATTTTGAATCGGCGATCTTCAAGGAAATGTGTGACTCCTACGGAATCAAGAAAACCAGAACGAAGCCCCTACATCCACAATCAGATGGCATGGTGGAAAGATTCAATCGCACCCTGGAAGAACATCTACGGAAAGTGGTGGACAGTGGCCATCGAGACTGGGATGAGCATATTCCAAAGTTTTTGCTGGCTTATAGATCGGCCATTCATGATTCCACATCCCGGACCCCAGCCAAAGTTCTGTTCGGAAATGAATTAAAGCTACCTGGCGATTTGATATTCGGTGCTACCCCAAACGACGATGTGAACCAAGAAGACAGTCAAAACTCCTTTAGCAAAGTCCACGAAGTCCGTTAATTTAAGAATTTGAATTGTAACGTAAATTTCTACTACGCAGTTTATTCCAATAACTTCACAACAACAACTACTGTATAGATTTTTCTACATCCTTCCATTTCCTCTTTCATTTTCTATTTTGTTATTGACGTACAATTCTTGTTAAACGCCATCATCGATGATCGCTTAATTCCTCTTTCTTTGTTACTCCCTCGCCTGTATATGTGTTGTTGTTATTGTTCACTCAATGTAAGTTTGTATGTGTTTGTTGCATTGGTAGATTGTTCGAAATCTAGGTGTTACCAGATCGTCTAGAAACTTCTGTAGCGACAAGCAGGGCTCATATAAATAGGGAAATGGAAAGGCAGTTAGTCAGTTGTGAATCAGATCGCGAATTGAAACCGTCAAGTAACGTAAAGCTGTAAAGTAACGTTCAAAGTAAAGTTGTGTCAATAAAATCATTGTAATATTCGTAATCAGAAAGAACCCGCGTTTTATTTGGTACGAACTGTATTGGGAAATAAAACAACGTCCACACGGGATTAAGTAAAATCCAAGAACGTAACAATATCTTTAGATTTGCAAGAAATTTGGCACAGTGCAATGAATTAGGCATAGAATGACGTGTGTTAAGTTTCTTGAAAATTGGTTCAGATTTAGATATAACTCCCATATATATTTTCGTCCTATTAAATGTATATATATATATATATATATATATTTTCGTCCTATTAAATGTATATATATATATATATATATATATTTTTTCGTCCGATGTTTAGCACATGGTGCACCAAACTCCTCATATTTATCAGATATTTATCCAAATAATCAACGGGTGTCCGATTGATATTTGCTTTAAATTTTTTTCGAACTTTCATTGATTTACCTAATTTTGTCCCATTGTAAGAAGCAACTCCATATCAGACCAATTAAAAACTTTAGTATAGCTTGCAGAATGACATGTTTATGAATCCAATATCATCAGAATGACATGTTTATGAATTTTAAAAAATATATATACCTATATTTTTTCAATTGTTGGGAGTAAAAAAACTGCAACAATTTAGTTTATAAATTAATGTTTATAGCTGTTATAGTTAAAAAATAATATTCTTCAAAAATCCCTTTTTAGTCATTAATAAAATATTATTTTAAATTCGGTTTTTATTTCATATTTCTCAATTTCCTTATTTCATAAACACGAACGTTTTTATACCCTTCACCACACTGTGGTACAGGGTATTAGGTCTTTGTGCATATGTTTGTAACAGACAAAAATAATCGAGATAGACCCATGGTTCTTTTTGAGACTATGCATAGAATCACTTTCTGAGTCGATTTATGCATGTCCATCCGTCCGTCTATCCATGTATTTTTGTTAACAAAGTACAAGTCCCATTTATGATCCGATTTGGATA